TTTACAAATGGAAAATTTATAAAAACAGAGTGCTATAAATAAAATGTTTCCAAAGATTATCGATCCACTAGAACTATGTGAAAATAATAACAAACGAGGTATTTTGTGGCCAACTTTGAGGGTTTAAGGTTAGGACTGTAATCTGCGAGTTATCTCGGTAAATGCTGCAGCCACCAGCATTCTCAGGGCAAACGAGAAATAGGTTAATCAGGAGCAGATATCTGATCTAAAATATTTTGACAATGAGTACCTATCCTTACCAAAATGTACTGGAATTAACTTTTTTTTTTTTAAATGGAGAAATATCATTTCTCGTTAAACAAGCACCAGAATATACTTAAACTGTTTATGATAATATGATATAGCAGATGTACTTCCTATGTTCTGATTTCTGTTCTTAAAAATTGTACCAGCTCTTTGACTGTGTAATTCCATGTTTAGGTTGTTCCAAGGAAATAGAGATATGTACCAAGAATTATGTACAGTATATATATAGTGGCAATAAAAATAATCATGAAAAATTAGAAGCAACCTTTATGTTTGGGAGATTGTTAAATTTGCAAGCCCCTATTAAAGGTAATGTTCTTGAGTAATATTTGGGATTAAAAAATTAATTGGTAAAAAAGCGTTAAGATAGCACATATATCAAAATGTTAGCAGTAGTTACCCATGGGTGGTAGGATCATGAGTAATTTTAAGTTTTGGTTGATACATTTGTTTGTTAGTGCATGTTCTTCTGGGTTTTACACATTTTAAATAATGAACAGGTATTGTTTTAAAGTTTAAAAGTTAAACTGAATTGGGGAAATAAAGTGCTAATAAAATGATACTTTAAATCAAGGGAAGGATACATATTTTCCCATTTCTTTATGTTATTAAATAAACATCAGACAAATCTTTGCTATATGTAGAACATTAATGGATTAGAAGGCATGATTCTTGTCTTTAAATTTATATTCTGTTTGTGGAAGAATGGGTTTAATAAGCAATCAGTACTACAGAATTTGTCAGATTTTAGGAAATTGGAGCTGTCATTTGTAGGAAAGTGAGTAAAATTTTAATAGTGTTAGGCCAAGGCTGAATAGATCAAAGTGGGCTGGGGTCTAAGTAAATAACCAAGCCTTAGAGAATGCAGTAAAAGAATGGAGTGAAGGCCAGTGGGGTGTAGGTAGAGACTGGGGTTGAGGATGGGAGTAAAACAGATATATAGAGTATTTTAAACTGAAATGAATCTAATGAGTCACTACCACCATTTTAAAAAAGACAGTGAAAGATGAATACATGGTAAGATAAGCACTGTTTCATGGAACTTTTGTTAGCATTTTGCGTGTATTGTGTATGTGTGTGTGAGGAGGAAGAGAGAACTGGGTCAGGATGTAAAAAAATTTCTTACCTTATTTGAGGTTGTTTGAGAGACACTGCTCCAGAGCCTGCCAGATCAGCTCTGATTATAGCTACAGCACTGAAACCACATTGACTGTTATTTGTTTAAACAGGTTCTCTTAGTAATGAATGCTTTTGGCTTTTGTGTGTCTGAGACATCTTTATTTTGCTTTCATTTTCGAAAGATAATTTTGCTGAATGTAGAATTCTAGCTCGATTTTTGTTTCAGTACTTTAAAAATATTGCTCTACTGCATTCTCACATGCATTGTTTCCAGTGAGAAATCAGGTGTCATTCTTTGTTCCTTCTGTACTTGTCTTTTTTCCACAGGTGGCTTTTTTTTTCCAGGTGCCAAAATTTAAAATTTTTATTCAGCAAACAAGATATATCATTATAATGACTTGTGTTAAATTCTGTGGGAGAAAAGCCAAAAAATATTGTAAAGAAATGGCATAAAGACGTAGAAGCCAGAAAGGGTTGAAAATACTAGCAGTTACAAGAGTGAGTTGTAGGAAGATGTTAATTTTCAGTCTTCACAGGCTGCTTTTAAGATTTTCTCTTAATCCCTGGTTTTGAGCAGTTTGATTATATGTTCCATGATACAGGGTTGTTTTTTTTTTTTATGTTGCTTGTGCTTAGGGTTTATTGAACTTCTTGAACTTGTGGGTTTGTTTCATCAAGTTTAGAAAAATTTTGGTCACATCTTTTTTCTGTCTTCCCCCTTCTCCTGCTCCCCACCTTTGAGATCTACAATTACATGTGTATTAGATTTCTTAAAGTTCTTTTTTCTATTTATTTTTTAATAGTTTCAGTTACTGTGCCTTCAAGTTGACTAATCTTTTCTTTATCAATATCTAATCTGCCGTTGTAATTTTTATCTCTAGAAGTTTGAGTTGGGTTTTTTTATATATACTGTTTCCGTGCTAACTCTTTGAGTACATGGTATATAGTTATAACAGCTGTTTTAATGTCCTTCTCTGCTAATTCTAACATTGTCAGTTTGGGGTCAATTTTGATTGATTATTCTCATTTTGGCTTGTTATTTCCTGCCTCTTTGCATGCCTGGTCATTGTTGATTGGATACCAGACATTGTGATTTTTACCTTGCTGTGTGATGAATAATTTTGTATTCCTATTAAATCTTTTTGAGCTTTATTTTAGGATGCCGTTGAGTTACTTGGGAACAGTTTGGTATTCTGGGACTTGCTTTTATAATTTACTGGGTAGATCTGCAGAAGTGTGCTTTTTCTAAGACTGCTGAGGCACTACCTTCCTGAGCACTGTACCCCATGAATTAAAAGGTTTTCTAGTCTGGCTGATGGGAATCAGCGCTGATCCTGGCCATGTGAGTGCCGAGCACTGTTCTTTCTAGTTCTCTTGAACCTTGGGTAGTTTCCTCACATGGATGCGGTGATGGTGTATTCTACTAAATACTTGAGGGACGCTTCTGTTCTTCCTCTGGTACTGTGTCCTATGAACTCTAGCTTCCTTGGTTTCCCAGGATTCTTAGCTCATCTTCTTAATCAAGAAGTCTTCCTGGCTCTGCCTCAATTCCTCCAACCCATCCTACTGTCTGAAGACTCTTTAGGCAATAAACTGGGGCAGTCGTAGGGCTCTCTTAGTTTATTTCCTGTCTCTCACAGATCACTGTCCTTCACTGCCTGACGTTCAGTGAGAAACTTGTTTTTTTATATTTTGTCTGTTTTTTTGTTGTTTTAGGCAGGAGAGTAGATCCAGTTTCTGTTATCCTATCTTGGGGAATAGTGGAAACCTACCTATAGGGTTTTATTTATGGAATTTGACAGGCTAATTCTGAAGTTCATCTGGAAGAGAAAATTCACAGTAGCAAAGCAGATTTTGAACAGGAAGTGTTCAAAACAACAAAGAGGGGCTTGCCTTTCCACATAGCAAAACATGAAACTAGAGAAATTTCAATGGTGTGCTCTTTGTGCAGGTAATGGACAAATAGATAAATGGAGAAACAGCGTTTGTATGTGTATACATTCACATATTTATACATTAATTTATAACAAGTGGTATTTCAAATCTGGAAAGGGCATTAGGATAATCGATTGCCCATTTAGAAAACAAAAAATTATAAAAACTGTATATTCATTAGAACATGGTTTTAGCATCTTGTGATCAAAACTCAAAATAACAGGGGCTCAGGAAAGGTAGAAGTTTTTATTTCTCATGGAAAAAGTCTGATTTATGTAGTTAAACAGGATTCAGGCTTCTTTTATGTTTTTGCCCTCCTATCCATAAGATATTTTCTTGTTTACGCAGTTTAAAAGAGCTCATCTTCTTTCAGTGGAAAGAGACTAAATAGATGAAGAGAAGGTATACCCTTTTCTCCTAAGGGAACAACACAGAATTTTTATCGATCTCTTCTGTTTAAAACCTCCAGAGAAGTTGGAGAATAGCTCTATTCAGGACAGCCCTGTGCCTAGCTAAATGTTTTGTTGTTGTGAAAGAAGAGAATATTAGAAATTTGGGGACAACTGGCTATCTCACCTTTACTATACAGAATACATTTCAAGTGGATGACAGGAAAAATATGTAAGTATTAGATGTGTATAGAATATGTGTTTGCTCTATAGATTACAAAAGTCCTGAACAAGAGGCAGAAGCATAAGCCATAAAGGGAACAATAGCTTTTTATTACATAGGAATTACATACATATTACAATGGCTATATGACAAAAGATTTAAGCAAAGATAGATGACATACCAGAAAAGTACTTGTAATGTATACAAATGAAAAAAGATGAATATCCAGGATATATAAAGAGTTCCTTTAAGTAAATGGCAAATACTGTAGTAGAAAAATGAACAGAGCACATGGACGGACAGTCCACAGAAGAAATCCAAAAGGTTCATAAACATTAAAATATACTCTCTATCTCATAAGATGAGAAGTGCGAATTAAAATGACATCTTGTCTGTCATATAGGTA